TATTATTATTATTATTATTATCATAACAATATTGTATAACTGTATGGTCGTTCCTCTCGAAACGGCCGGAAGTGCCTCCGAGGCCGAAATTACAAACAATTCGACCGAGTAATGGACGCGCACGCACCGTGCCCCGGCGCCGGCGCCGGGGCGTAAAGCGTTTCGAAACGATGGCGATATAATAATAATAGTTGCGGTGTAATAACAATTATATCTGCAAAACGGTCCTAAGAAACATTTTAACAACAGACTTGTTTTGTTTAGGGGAGGACCGCRAGTGTGTTTCAGGTCAAAATCCTCCTTGCGCAGGACATTAATCACCGAAATACTTACAAGGCCGCTTTAGGCATTTGGCGCGAGTCCAAAATGATATGTAAACAAATACGATCGTTTGGTTTTTTTCGTCGTACTATACGCATGGCCGGCCCAAGGTATTTTGACGCCCGGGGAAATTTTTTGATAGGCGCCTTGCTCCATAATAAATTTAATACTTTTTATACTTACCTATACATATTTTGTTTTAAATTCTTATATTTATGGATATAGGTAAAGTATTGCAAAACTTATTTGGATACAATTTATAAACGTATCGGCTGTAACACATACTTTTTTGGTTTTCCCGAATTAATGATTATATATCAATATATCATCATTGTATATTATTTTTTAATTATTTGTAATATAATAGGTAATAAAAACTGTAAAGTGGAGTAAAATCTATAAAACAAAATATATATAACAGAATATTCTGTCATAGATAATTTAGTCATTTAGCTATATTATTGTCAATTTGAATAAATATTAGGTTCGCTAAAATGTATAAAATATTTGTACATTAAAAGCGCCCYGGGCAACCGCCCGGTTCGTCCGTATCTTGGGCCGGCACTGACTATACGRTAARCACGCCGACAAAGTTACGATAATGTGAAATAAAAATTAAAGAGCTCTCTGGTCTCGCACTCCGAGCCGAATCCGATATATCGCGGTTATTATTTCACCATTTATCGATAATATTATCATTTTAATTTTTTTTTTTTATACCTGTAAGCCGCAGGTTAACGACTCCAATTCTTGCCGACTCGACTTTTCCTATTTAAGTCTCTTAAACGTTTTGACGATTTGACATAATAATTAATTGTGTTCCATATTACATACGAGTTAAACCGCACTGATGATTTTTCTTTATATATCTATAATATTATATTATATCACGCAGCTCTAATGCAGTATTAATATATCGACAACACAAAAATATATCCACTTATAAATAATATATTATTCCAAAACTGTTTAGAAATTTCCCGAAATTTGGTGGAGTTTGCGGGATAAGGTCGTCCGTGGCGTACAATTTGCAGTTACACAATAATGTCGCTGGCTACGAAAAAAGAATGACTGATGTTATTTATCGTCGCCGCAGCCTCAACCCCTCCTCTATTAATCCATGTCGGCGGTCCTTCCGCTATGCTGGCCATCAATCTTTCCGTCACTATTCGTGCGTCTATACAGGGCGTAAATTCTGTACGCCCCAGAATATAMCGCGCGCGCTCACCCTCGGCCTTCCTAAAACGAGAAAACACACCCCGGTCCGCTCTGTATGTAATACAATAAACGCGCATTAATATATCCGTATAATATTATTATATAGGTACACCACAGTGCCGCCCCGACGCCAAAATATTATATCATAAACCCACGTCCCGAAAACGTGTGCGAATTCGAGATCAGAAATTCCACTCGACGGACGGGCGTATATAACAATAATAATATATAGAATATATTGTTCG